GTACGAATAGTGATGGTATTAACGATAGTTAAGTTGATCCCTCTCACTGGAAGTACTGTTGACCCCTCTCACTGGAAGTACCGTTGACCCCTCTCACTATAAGTACCGTTGACCTCTCTCACTGAAAGTACCGTTGACCCCTCTCACTGGAAGTTCCGTTGACCCCTCTCACTGGAAGCACCGTTGACCCCTCTCACTGTAGGTACTGTTACTGGTGTGACCGGGGCACAGTTATTGCTTGCGGTTAGGGTGGGAATGATTTTCAGGCAATCACAGTGCTGCAGGCCCTGTGGGTGCGGCAGGTCGTAGTGGATGCGGGTGCGCTGTGGCAGGTCGTATGGCATGTGGGCGCACTGCGGCAGGTCGTAGTGGATGCGGGTGCGCTGTGGCAGGTCGTATGGCATGTGGGCGCACTGCGGCAGGTCGTAGCGCATGTGGGCGCACTGCAGCAGCTCACAGGACATGCGGGTGAGCTGCGGCAGGTCGTCGTGCATGTGGGCAATCTGAGGCAGCTCGTAGTGGATGCGGGCGCTCTGCGGCAGGTCGTAGTGCATCGTCGAGATGGACGGGTTTCCCTGTCATATATTTTCGTTCTGGACGGATTTTCCTGTTATGTTTCATCGCTCTGGACAGGTTTTCCTTTCATATTTCGACGCAATAAACGGGTTTCAACTGTCATACTTCAACGCCCTGGACACATTTCCCTGTCATCTATTGTCGCAGTGGACGGGTTTCCCCGTCCAGGCTGAGGGACTGACAACCTCAAATCTACGACTTCAAGGGTGATGGACTGATTACATAGTCTTCACATCTCTACTGTTCCTGCCTACATTCTGTATTTGACTGAAGAAGCGTACTGTGTAGGCGAAACGTTTCGGAATAAAGTTGCCTAACTGTTGCATATGTGTCTTACCTACCAACAAGGTTTCAATCTCATTTTCAAAGCCTGGACAGGTTTCACTGTCATATTTCGTTTCCGTGTACGTGTTTCCTTGTCAAATTTCGACACAATTAACGTGTTTACCTCTCAAATATCGTCGACCAGGATGTATTTTCTTGTCATACTTACTCGCCCAAGGTGAGTTTTCCTGTCATATATAATCGCCCTGGATGAATTTCCCTGTCATATTTCTTTCCGTTTTACGTGTTTCTCTGTCATTTATTGTCACCCTGGACTAGTTTACCTCTCATACATCATCGCACTGGACAGGTTTCCCTCTAAAATTTCAACGCCCTGGAGAGGTTTCCCTCTCATATTTCATCGCCCTGGAGAGGTTTCCCTCTCATATTTCATCGCTCTGGACATGTTTCCCTCTCATATTTCATCGCCCTGGACAGGTTTCCCTCTCATATTTCATCGCCCTGGACAGGTTTCCCTCTCATATTTCATCGCCCTGGAAAGGTTACCCTGATATAATTCGACGCCTTTGACAGGGTTACCTGTCATATTTCGACACCCTGGACTGGTTTCACTGTCATATTCCATCGCCCTAGAAAGGTTTCCCCTCTCATAAGGAGTCGCCCTGGACGAGGTTTCCCTGGCAAATTTTGACTCCCTGGACGGATTTCCTGTCATATTATATAGCTGTAGAGAGGTTTCCCTCCCATACTTCATCGCCCTGAACAGGTTTCCCTGTCATATTTTGATGCATTGGACAGGTTTTCTTGTCATATTTCATCGTCATGGACAGGTTTACTGTCTTATTCCATTGCCCTGGACACGTTCCTCTGCCATATCCCATCCACCTCGACGAATTTCCCTGTCATATTTTACCGCCCTGGGGAGGTTTCCCTGTCACGTTATATTTCCCTGGACAACTTTCCTTGTCATATTTCGATTCCCTGGACGGGATTCCCTGTCATATTTTGTCGCCCTGGAAGGGATTCCCTGTCACATTTCAACGCCTTGGACAGGTTTCACAATCTATTTCGTCGCCCTGAACGCTTTTCCTTGTCATACTCCATCGCCCTGGATAGGTTTCCCTGTTATATTTCGTCGCTATAGACAGGATTCCCTGTAAAATATCGACGCCTTAGACAGGTTTCCCTGTCGTATTTCGTTGTAATGGACGAGCTTAACTATTATATAATGTCGCCCTGGACGGGGTTCCCTGTTATGTTTCGTCGCACTGGACAGGATTCACTGTCATATTTCGTCGCCTTGGACAGGTTTCCCACTCATATTCCGTCGTTTGGCACAGACTTGTCATATATTGTCGCCCTAAACGGGTTTTCCTGTTATGTTTCGTCGCATTGGACAGGTTTCAATGTCATATTTTGTCGCTATGGACAGGTTAACCTGTCATATTTCGTCGCCCTGAACATTTTTTTTTCATATATCGATGGGTTGGACAGGTTTCCCTGTCATATTTCTTCTCCCTGCACAGGTTTCTCTGTCAAATTTCGTCGCCCTGGACGGGTTTCCCTGTCATATTTCGTCGGATTCGACGAGTTTCCCTGTCAAATTTCATCGCCCTGGACACGGTTCACTGTCATATTTCATCGCCTTAGACAGATTTTCCTATCATATTTCGTCCCCCTGGACAGGTTTCCCTGTCATATTTCGTCGCCCTGCACATGTTTCACTGTCATATTTCGTCGCCCTGGATGTGTTTCTCTGTTACATTTCGTCTCCCTAAATGGGTTTCCTTGTTATATTTCGACGCACTGGTCTGCATTACCTGTCATTTTCCTTCGATCTGGACGGATTTACCTGTCATATAGTGTTGCCTTGGATGGGTTTTCCAGATATATTTCATTGCTTTGGACAGGTTTCCTGTCAAATTTCAATGCCCTGGACAGGTTTCCTCGTCATATTTTGTATCCAAAAATTAATACCAATTGCTCTGGACAACCTTTCATTTCCAACACCCATTCTTGGCAAAATTCCACATATAACAGGGCGCCCTCCCTTCTTCCTAATTATGTCTATTGCCGTCCTGAACCTTCTAACTAAATCCTCACTTCTACACTTGCCTACATCATAGCCTCCAGCACTGAGGCAGATAATAGGATTGATCCCATTATTGTTCATGATTTTGTCAAGCCGGCTAACAATATCCTCCATCCCAGCCCCAGGAAAGCAAACCCTCTGTCTCCTACTCCCATCCTTCAAGCAGAAGGCCCTATCTATGTACCTAACCTGGCTATCTCCAACAACAACAATGGTGGTTGGCACCACAGACTGGGCATTCAGTCATGGACCTGCAATATTTTGCTGGATGGCCAAAATGCCAGCAATTTCTACACTGTTGCGGTGTAGGGATCACCTTTCGAGCTTGTAAACGGTGACCCACTATATATACAGAGGACATAAGCTTACGGCAGTCAAAAGTTAAGCGAGCTACATTGCATAGGTATCGTCTCCGCATGCAGACAGGGAGGACATGAGTGTCTAATTTGAGGGTTGGGAGGTCTTGCAGTGTCTAGCTGTTTCAGAATTTCATCGCCACATGTCTGGAAATTCTGTTGGACAATGGTATGGGACAGAATGGCAGTACAACTAAAAGAAATGAGGGAATGATATTTTTCAATCGTTACAGGAATAGTATCAATAGTTGTAAGGAGAGAAAGATCGTGAGCTTGGGTATCATTCTGGACAGTGATGATGCGTGTACCACTCATGACACCAACATGGCAGAGGAGTGCCTTGCCAATATTATGGTCGGAAAGATAGGCAGTAGAGGTAGTAGGTCGTAGAGTAAGCCATACCACGGGCGGGATTTGAACCCGAGGTCAGAGAGTCTCAAAACTCCAGACCGTCACGTTAGCCACTGGGCCAGCTAGCTTCGGTAAGATTCGTCCAACTAGGTGTATTTCTACACCATAGGAAGGTTAGCATAGGCACCACTGTGACCACAAATGCTTTGAGGGAGCTTGAGCTAGAGTTCGTCACGGCCATCCTAGCGGGAGATTCGTCTGTAAAAACTTGCATTTGTGGACACAGTGGTGCCTATGTGAACCTTCCTATGGCGTAGAAATACACCTAGTTGAACGAATCTTATCGAAGCTAGCTGGCTCAGTGGCTAACGCGACGGTCTGGAGTTTTGAGACTCTATGACCGCGGGTTCAAATCCCGCCCGTGGTATGGTTTGTTTGCAATCGTGTCATTACGACTTCGTGAGTCGTAGAGTAAAAGCCTTAGTCCAGTGTGTATTTTGAAACAGCATGTAAAGGGAGGGCACGCCATGATTTTTTTTCTGAGAACGAGTCGAAGAAGTATCGTCAGGTAATAGTCTTGGGCGTTTAGGTGCAAGACCAGAATTGGTATGATGTGGGATGGACAGACGACCCGAAAATCGCTGCACCGTAGAGGAAGAAGCTGGAAGCATAATGACATATCAAAGGAGACATATCAAAGGAGTGAGTCGAAACCCTGGTACCTGGAGCAGGTGTAGAAACGGTACCAGCAGGAGGTACAAGGGCATGAGAAACGTCCAAAGAGTGGTCAAATAACGAGGCAGGGTCAGAACAAGGAGCGGTATCAGAAAGGGGCCCGGGGGGAGCAGGTTCATGGGTTGAGAACTCCATGGTTATTTCACTCCTTTTATTTCTGCTTTTTTAGAAAAAAAAAGAAAATAAAAAAGAATAAAAAACTGGGAATATGGAGGAATAGCTCCTAGGAGGAATGAAAGGGCTGTAAATCTCCCTCTGCGCCCAAGAGGAACTCAACACCGCAGGTAGTGCAGATGCAGCATGGAACCCGTGCCATACCCTACCCTTCATGCCAGTAAACCAGCAATCCGGGATAGCAACCTCACGTCCGCTGTGCCATATCATAAAAATCTTTGAGAGGGTTCTAAGAAGCAAGAATCGCCAACCACCTTGATGCCTATCAATTACGCAACCCAGGGCAACACGGGTTTAGAGCAGGTAGCCTGTCCCAGCTACTGGACCACTATGACAAGGTCCTGAATGCTGTAGAGGATAATAGCACAGATGTAGTATACACAGACTTTGCTAAAGCCTTCGGCAAGTGTGATCATGGTGTAATAGCACACAAAATGCGTGATAAAGGAATAACAGGAAAAGTTGTTAGATTGATCTATAACTTCCTGACAAACAGAACACAAAGAGTAATAGTAAACAGAGTAAAGTCCCAGGAAACCATGGTAAAAAGCTCTGTTCCACAAGGCACAGTACTCGTTCCCATTCTTTTTCTCATCCTCATTTTTGACAGAGATGTTAGCCATAGCTCCGTGTCTTCCTTGGCGGATGACACCCAGATTACCATGGCAGTGACCTCCATCGAAGACATCAACCAAATCTTCGAATTGGCCACTCAAAACAATACGAAGTTCAACGAGGAGAAATTTCACCTACACAGATATGGGAAAATTGAGGATATTAAAAACGTATCAGGGTATACGACAAATTCTAACCATACAATAAAGCGAAAAAGTAATGTGAAGGACCTGGGAGTGATAATGTAGAGGAACTCGCCTTCAAAGACCACAACAATGTATCTACCTCATCTGCTAGGAAAATGATACGATGGATAATGAGAACCTTCAAAATTAGGGACACCAAGCCCATGATGATTCTCTTCAAATCA